ATACAATCTTCGGGTAATGAGCGAAGGATTAGTTCTAAAGCTTCCTTGGCTTTTTTGATTGGATCACCACTCATAGAACCAGAGCTATAATTTATTAGGAAAGATTGTTAATATTATTTTTATTGAATTAAAGTGTATATGTAAACATAACATATAAATATATATATATTGAATTACCGATCAATTATAAATACTAGCTCAGTGGATTTAGATTTAATAGAAGCTAAATATGGTACCATAGTTAACATCATACAATTTGTTTTGGTTCGTGGATTATATTCCAAGAACGCCCTGTAATTCAAAATTATAATTCAAATGAATATTTATTAAAAATATTATTATTATAATTATTATAATTACCTTGGTTGATCCAAATCTTTACTTTTAGCTACCAAAACAAAATCTTTTTCCAAATAGCTAACGTCTTCTGCCAATTGGATCTTTGCCACTTTATTATCTCCACCAATATTCAATTCAGTGGTAATCAAGTGTGATGAAGATTCGATACTTGTAATCATCGATGTCATTCTACATGTAACTTCGACTATTAAAGTAGCATTCAAGACAGGTGATGAATTACCAGGTAGAAGCACTTTTCCATCATTAGATCCTGGATTTAAAGTCGATCCATATGAGGACCCATATCTCGGAGCAATCGTTGTAGGTAATACGAATCTTATACGTTCATTTTCGGAATCATGCTTCAATTCTGAGACATAGGTTATTTTAATTACTACGGTCTGTTGAGGAGTGAGATTACCCACTGAACATTGAAAGATATCAGATAGTTCTTCTTCTAACAAGTAGGCACCATAACCACTCTGTCATAATATATAGATTCTTGTTTTATTATAACATCAATTAATTACATGATCCATATGATCGTAAAGAATACTCACCGATATAGCTTCTTTATATTTTTGGGCTGCTTCTTTGGCTTCATGAACAATGCCTTTAATTTTCCTATCACCATCAATTTCCGCTTCAAATTCATAAATGGCAGAATTCTCATATGTTGGGAATTTATATAAAGCTTCAATGGTTTCAGAAGTAGTATTTTTATAGGTTTGACAAATTTTAACTATTTTCAAAGAAAGGATGATTCCAAAGAAAGGATAACGTTCAAAGATGATTAATATTGTATTATATACTGTATATTGAAACCCGAAATTTGGATTGTTACCTTCAGAGATCATATCAACAACTAATTTTCACATCACGAATTTTTTAAAAAAAAATAATAAAGTTTTAAATATCAAATTCGAATATATATATACTCATGAAATTTTTTTTTTTTTAAAAAAAAAATTCATACTATTAGCCTCCACTGAAACATTTTGCAAAGTAAGCAATTGGGGTACATTATCTAAAATATATATTAGACCGTAAATTTGCATTTTATTAATAACTAAAGACAAAGAAATAGAATTTTATCTCCGCTCCTTGTTTATAGGTCAACCATTCTGTGTTTCATAAACAAAAACACAACTTTTTACCTCATCGATTATTAGTAGAAATTATTTTGGATTTTATTTGTGACTGGAATTTTTTTGTAGTTTATAAGTATTTTGGTTACAATTGAATTTCGGTGGTAGCATAAATAGATCCTTTGGAATTTTCCTAAAGTTCTTTTTAAGAATTATTTTATAGATTTTTTAATTTGTACCATTTATTTTTATGATGATGATAATACACCGCTCACCTCTTAAACTGAACATTGTCTTAAGGCAAATTATCAGGAAAGTTTATTGTGTTGAATTTATAAATTTTTTTTTTTTTATTGATGTGAAATGATGAGAAGATTCCAATTACTAAATTTCATCTTTTTGTGATCACTAGTTGAGAAGTTATCTTTAAAAGTTTTCAAATTATTAAATCATATTTTTCTAAATTCAAATTTTCAGTTCTTAGGAAAGTAGCTTTTAATGTTTAAATATTCATTTGTCAGTTTACCATGTTTACTAATTAGCCACATTTCAAAGATATTACCATTCTTTTTTCATTCATTAATTCATCAAGTATTTTATAATTTTAAATTTCTATTTCTTTAGTTTTTTAGGATTTTTGATTAATTATTTATTTTATTATAAAATTCTCAAGACAATTATTTTTTGTGAACGAGAGATTTTATTAAATAATTATTTCAGCATTTTCATATCATAAATGCTTCGGCGACGATTTTTTCACCCGAAATTATTTGACTTTAATTCATATTCACTCTCGAGACATTTCATGAAACATAGAATTTTATTTAAAATTGCAGAAACTTTTTCTATTCATAATTTATAAAAAAAAATTTCAACTGTCTCGAAATATATAAAAAAAAAAGGATTACACCATAGAAACTGTTTACCCACAAACTCGAAAAACCAGTGTATGCTAAACAATTTACAGCCTTATACGCAAAAGGTACCCAAAAAGAACCACTTCTTAGTGTTTCAGATCAAAGGCTATTAAAAAATATCTAGTTATAACATCTGAAAGATGATGACGACTAAAGCAAATTCCATGTCACTTGTGAATATGAAATGGGAAGTCGAAAAGCTAAGAGAGAATATGATTATTATAAAGAAAAAGAAATTATGTCATTTAAATGATTAAAAGAGTCAATTGTATGGTACCAAGTTACTGCGTCAAGCCGAAAATTGAGATGCAACGTTTTTGTCGTTCTTCATTTTGTTTTTTTTGTAATCGAAGGTAAAAAAGCCAAAATTGATTATATGTTTGATTTCCATTTGTATTGTTGGAAGCGAACTCTTAAAGAGAATGGATGTATATATCACCGTTCTTGCACCGTTAGGATCTTATTAATTACCTTCCTCAAAGGTAATCTACATTCGTGCAACAAAAAAAAATTAATATAAATATAATAAGGAATAAATAAATTATTTACCTGTTACGTAATGTCTTATTACATTTCGTTAACATAAATATGGAAATGATCTTTGTGAATTTTTGGAAAATAAATTTTATTTTCGTTTTTGAAAAGAAACAGAAGATAATAAAAAAATTTTTTTTGGTTCAAAGGTTCCATAACAGTATGATCTTTGACAATCACCATTTCGTTCTTTGTAAAAGCCATGTGATTTTCGTGTTTTGGATTTTTAATTTGCTTCAATTTGGATGATATGATAAAATAAAAAATATATTATTTTTTTGGCTGAAAGCACTTTGCGATCAATTCGTCCTTTGATGACTACCATTTCTTTAAGGTGTTTTTGGATCTTTAATAATAAATCCTTATCCAAATTGAATTGTATAAAAATTTTATTTTTGATATCAAGAGGGAGAGTATGGTTTCACCGCTATAAAAATAATAAATGCATATTTAAAGTAGTGAATTTCGAAAAAAAAATATGTAAGAGGCCCAAAATATCAATACTTATGTATTTTGCTCTACGAAATAAAGGAATGATTTATAATAAATAGCTCATTTGCATATTTGAAAATAGATGAAACGTTTACATAACTTATAAATTTGTATTTTAAATCGGAAAAACTTTTCATTTATTATTTTTTTATTTTTTACGAACTATATTTATTAATTGATGTGATGCTTAACTTAATGCCGGAAGAATAAAGGATGTTTTAAAAGCGGGTAATTTTATTTTTCAATTTTAAAATTCTTTTCAAAAAAAAACGGCCAATTTATTAAGCGATAAGTATTATTCTTGGCGTGGTTCAATTTTCTATTATCTATTGTATTATCTAATGACGCTAAAATTATTTTTTTATTTTATTTATAAGCGGTGCGTTTTTGTTTAATATATATTTTATTATGATTTTAAAAAATTCTAAAATGGAATTTGAATTCAATAGTCTCGTTCTGAGTAATTATTTTGAATCTGATAGAAAAGAAATGTGAAATAAAAATTGATAAACTCAACCAACCAGTACCCACGACAACATTTTACTAACAGCTGACCAAAGAGATAATTACCAGAAGTAATGATAAGAAAATAATTTCATTTTTTATGATACAAGAAATTATTTATTTGAAGCTTGAAATTAATGTTATGCCTGTTTAACTAGAAAATTCCTAAGTTGTCAAATTTCCGATTGATACATATACAGTATTACATGAATAATATCCCCGAAGTCTGATGAAAGATGCACTTTGGGATCTTTTGGAATTTTAAAAGTTTGTATCTTTTGAATTTGCATTTTGAAGATTGGGTCACCAATTTTAGAAATGAGATTTTGCATGAGCCAATTTAAATCATAAAATGTAAATTTAATATTTATAAAAACTTCATATTCTTATATGCATTTATTGAAAATAATAAAATATTCAATTAAAGTTTGTTCTTTAGCTTTTTTGTTTTTCTCTTATATCCTTTTTATATAATAGATTCGTCATTTTAAAATATATATATATATTTTCCATTTCAAACTTTTAATAACTTTTAAATTCAATAATTTTATTATAACTTTAATATACTAAACAAATCATTACGTAAATAAAAAATATATATTCCAATAAAAAAGAAACTAAAAATATTGAAGAGAAAGAATTCTGTCAGTACTTGAAATCAGTTGAAGAGGGAGACAGTGATGCACTATTCAATCTTGGAAATTATTATCGAAATGGGATTGGGACATAAAAGATGAAGAAAAAGTCATTCCAGTAGTACCTGAAATCAGCTGAAGGGGAAACCACATTGGACAAAATAATCTTGAAAATTGTTATTGCGATGAGATTGGAACCATGAAAAACATTACATTCCAATGGTACCTGAAGGCGGAAGCAGTGATTGGCAATCTAATCTTGGATATTGCTATCTCTATGGAATTGTAACTACAAAAGATGAAAGGAAAGCATTCCAGTGGTACCTGAAATCAGCTGAAGGGGGAAACATGCAGGATAAAATAATCTTGGACATTGTTATCACTATGGAATTAGAACTACAAAAAATGAAGAGAAAGCTTCCAGTGGTTTCTGAAATCAACCGAAGGAGGAGAAAAATTAGGATAAATGGCAGTTGAATATTTCTACCGAAATGAAATCTTATATGTTAAAAAAAAAAATCAAATAATTAGAACATCGATGTATTATGATAATTGTGAAAATTTAAATCAATTGAATAATACATGTTCAGATTGTAAACTATTAGGAATGTAATTTTTTCAATTTTCAATTGTGTCCAACTCAATTCTATAGTTTTAATAGTTTTAATTCAATAGTTTTAATGACATTTATAACCTATCAATACCTATCAGGCACCTATCAGGTACCTGAAAAGATGTTCAAACTCCAAGACAAGTCAGGTATCTGAAATCTGATTTTTTAACCTGGGATACTTTATATTATATTTTTTTTTTACTTTTTTTTTTGACTTCGCTCTACACTTTATAAATCACGAACTAATGTGAAAAATGTAAAAAATGCTCTGAAGGCCTTTGCTAGAAAAAAAATCCTACTACCTGTTGGGAGAGCAGGAGCAAGTACAAGAAAAATGCTTGGGTTTAGCCTGGTAATTATCAGGCGTTTGGGAGTATGGAATGTATAAATACTAACAAAAAGAGACTAATCTATTCTATAGAACAAAGGAAGCACGGGAATCTGGTTTTAGGATAATTAAAGATAAAAATGGACAAGTATGAAGAAAGCATAAAAGATAGGGCAATAATTGAAGAAAGATAGTGACAGATTACAATATAAAAGGATATTTGAATCAGAATAAGATAGTTTTGCTAGGGACTTAAATAGAAAATATATATTTAAATAAGCAAAGAAGGTGTAGTTCCAGCTAAGTCATGTGATCAAATAAGCATGAAAGCAAAGATTAACAATTTAGTTTAAGGTTTAAGACTCAAAATTGTGTGATTTATAAGTTTAGTATTAATTTAAGAAATAAAACAAAGAAAATAAAAAAAAAATGTATTTATTATAAAAGAAATAAAGTTTTTATTAAAAAAAAATAAGGAATTTATTCTAATTTATTATTGAATTCATTTAAGACTATCTAACTTTTTACTTTCATTAAGTGATTAAATTCTGATTAATTACATAAGAAAGAAAATTAAAGTTCTTTATATACATTTTTAAAGACTAATCTATAAATATAAATTAATTAATCAATTTATTACATGATAAGAGCCATTTTTTGTTTATATAAACAAAAAATGGCTTAGATTAGACTACTATAGTCTCAGGTGTGTGTCATGATTCAATTTTTAGACTACACTCGAGGGTGTCACATTTTGCATTTTAGGTCACACACCTGAGACATTTATAGTCTACCCATTGGGTATTATATAGGTTGTGTTTTTATTGTCACTTGATCTGATGACAAAAGTTGACCACCATTGTCATGTGGTCTGATGACAAAAGTTGACCACTATCATCATATGGTCTGATAACAAAAGTTGATCACCACTTATGTGAATTTTGTATATCAGGCTAATGCTTTTAATCAATTTCCTTTAGATGGGAATAATGGGTTAGATTATAACAAGAAGTATACACTCTTCTATATTAAGTTTTAATTCCTTTAGAAACCTATATTCAATAATGATATTTGTATATTATAAACTATATGCATAGCCAATTTTTGTTGTTAGTTTGTGTGAACTAAAAATATATCTGATAATCCAATTGCATTTTACATATCATTTATGGAAATAGGTAGTAAGGTATATAATATTGGATATATCGTATCAGTATATTGCAAACATATATCTGACATACTACATACAGGCTATCAAATTGATTTAGCTCATGTTTAATACCATAAAAAAGAGAGGTGTTCTGTTATATTTTACTCTACATAGTAGAGATTCTGCAGATTACTTCATCTTATCTATCTCAAAACATACCCTTTATAAATGTTATCAATTAATATTATCAAAATGATTTTGGACACCCATATCTGATGAAGGTTTCTTCTATAATTATTATATAATATATCTGAAGTTACCTTTATCTTCACTATATTTAATCACATATCTTAAAAACCTATCTGAAAAATATATTACTTATAAATGTTTTTGTATAATGTAGTTAAAATAATTTTTATCACCTATATCTAATGAAAGCATCTTCCATTTTTATTATATAATATTATTGAAGTTATATTCACTTTTATGATACTTGAAAACATACCATTGATTGGATATATATAATTTTATTTTTTATATATAAATATTATTGAACTTATATAGTGGATTATCAAAAGTCATGGAACAGTTGAAAAATACTAAAAAAATTACTAAATTTAAAATGCTAATTGTGATACAACGAGTAATTTAAATTGTATAAACTTTTTTTTATTAGATTCCCTAATACTAGGGCTATTATAAAAAATATTTTTGTTAAAATTGAATATCTACAAGTGGAGAAATTACACTTCAAATAAAATTGTCCAAAAATAGTAAATTTGATCTTTGAATGTTACCCATACTGGATTTGATAGATATTAAAGATAGATACTAACAACCTATATGGAATTGTAGCCAGAAATGATATCTACAACTTTAATTATTAACATTTTTCATAGTATCTAGTTAAAATTTTGACTTTAAATTGACATGGATAAAAATGGCCAAAATTTATTTAAATTAAAAGTTAAAATAAAAAAAATCTGATTTTAATTATCAACAGCAGTCACAAGAAAAAATTTTTATTTAATAATATGACAATAAAAACTATTCTAATTAAACTTAATCTCAAGAATCTAGTGCATCCATTTAAAAAGTATTAGATTTACATATTAAAAATTAAGGAAATAATTGACAATTAAATTTTAAGGAATAATTTTTAAATATTCAAATTCAATCGTTAGTATTAATTTCAATTCTCAAGTAGAAAATCTAAAATTTTTACCATAGATGCACCATATTTTTAGCTATAACTTTTATTAATACTACTTTTGTTAAGATATTAGTAAATAAAAATATTTTATATATAATTACAATTGATAATCATTTTTAGAAATTTTCAAAATAAAAAAACTTTTTTATTTACTAACATATTAGCAAAAGTAATATTAATAAAAGTTATAACCAAGCAGTAGTATGTTTATGAGAGAGTTGGAACAGAAATCAGTATCCAAAATATGTATAGCATTTTACTTTTTTCACCACACAGCAAGCTTTTTTTTTATACCGATTTTTATATCATTTTGCTTAATTTTTTTTGAGCCACACTCGAATAATGTGTGATTTTTTTTTTTGGTCACATCTTCATATTACTACTCCGTTTGCTATAAAAAAAGGAGCAGGAAGCTAAAGGACGAATGTCCTGAAGCTGAGTGTGACACACATCAGCAAGTCTAAATTTAATATTATTTTCTTTACTATTCTAATTCTTTTCTAAACTTTATTTAATCTTCTATTACTGTGAAGCATGAATCCCAAAAGGTGAATGGAAAACAGTTGCGGAATGCAACAGAGCATAGTTAACTATTTGGTTTTCATTTTATTTTTAACTACCAAAATTTATATTAATTTAAAGTTTATTTACAATTTAATATTTTCACAATTTAACTTTATCTACATTAACAAAAAAAATTACTATTCTATAACACATTCAATTTCTCATTTACTTCCAACTGACTCATTAATTTTTTGGTACCCTTATTAAAAAAACTTAGGACAAATTTTATAATTAGAATATGTAACAATGGTACTAAAATTTGTATACTAAAAAAGTTAAGCCAGATTTTATAATTAGAATATATAACAATGGTACTAAAATTCGACTACCAAAATTTGTATACTAAATCAATTTAAACTACATTCCTGTTATAATAAAGATAGCATAATAGAAATGGTTATAAAAAAAAACTGGCCTTGTGATCGTTGTGGAAAAACATTTCCTAAATATTGGAAACTTATTCGGCACTTAAATCGAAAAAATCCATGCAAACCCAAACCTTATATTTCTGAATTACCAATAAGTTTTTATCTTGAAATAAATGAAAGTTCGAAATCTGAATATTATACAGCAGATGAAAGTCCAGATGAATATTTTTAATAGATTACTTGTCTAATTACTTAATATCTATACAAGACATTAGTATATAATAAAATTTTTTTTCGAATAAATGGGTAGTAAAAAATTCGTGTACTAAAAATTTTTGATAAATAAGATAAATATTTAATTTGAACAAAAAATATTTTATAAGTATTATATATAATATGGTAATACATATATGCAATAGATGTGGTAAAGAATATAAAAAATTAGCTAAGTTACGTATTCATCTTAATCAAAAAAATCTATGTCAACTTAAAACATCATCTATACTATTAATTCCATCACCTAATCCAGAAATAGACTATCTCAATGTATTGGGATTATTTGATTCCTCAGAAATTGGTGAAAACAGTCATTTAGAGGTTAACTCACCCTCAAAGGCTGAAAGAGAATATCTCGAAGCATTATGAATATTAGAACTTATTTCGCAATTTCATCAAACGGATATTATTAGTTCAGAATGTGAATTATTAGATGATCATTATCAAGTTGAAATAGGAAAAGAAAGCATATATGCACAAGACCCAATCAATACTCTTGGAGTACTTAGGGAGCAAATAATAAATATTTTCAATGACCGATTTGACCTTACTCATGGGTTCAAAACTGATTATGTCTCACAGGAAAAATGAGTCAATTAACAAATTATCAGCAGGGACTGTTTGAAGATGGAACATTTACAGAAAATGATAATGACAAAAAAGATTATAAAGAAGTTCCATTCAAAAATAAAGCAGTAGTAGTAACCGCTAAAGAAGATATCCCAGAAATTGTAGATGAGCTTATTTGGGACATTGAAAATCGAATAGAAGTATATATTCATGAAGGCTCAGGTTGGTATTATGAAGAATCAGGAGAAGTAAATATTAAAATGCCAATTTATATCCCTTTAACAGCCAGTTCACATCTTCCTTTATCTAAAGGAATACCAAAACGAAACAATGGAATTATCAATATTAAAAATGAGGATGATCGATGCTTTGAAAGATGTATCCTTGCTGATTTATACCAAGCTCTTCATCATCGAGAGCGTTCAAATTGGTATAATTAATATATAGGAGAGTTAAATTTTGACGGAATCTCATTTCCAGTAAAAGCTAACAATGATACAATGGAAAAGTTCGAAAAACAGAATCCCGATATATCTGTATCAATTTATGGATGAAGCGAAAAAGAACTTATCCCAATCAGAATTGCACCTAAATTCAAAGTACATGATAGATGCAATCATGAAGAGGGGAGTTGTCAACTACGAATATTAATTCGATTTTTATTAATAACTGGTGACGATCCAAAAACAGGAGAACCAGCCCAACATTATTGCTTGATCCAAGGAAGAGATGGATTAGGAAAATTAGCTGGATATACAACTAAGCACAATGGTAGGTTATATGTTTGTGACTATTGTGTAAGTCATCGAACCCACGATCTCAAGATTGATGCATAACACATGGAAGATTATGAAGGAATTAATACTCCAGCACAAAGAACAGTAATACTAAAGGAGAGTAAGAATATATATAAATTTAAATGATATGAATGAATATTAGATGCTTCTTTTGTTTGTACAGCAGATGCAGAAACTCTTTCTACACTCATTGAAAAAAATCAAGGATCAAAAACAACAGCAATTCAAGAATACAAAGTTATATTATTTGATTATATAATTAGACTTAGTGATGACAAGACCAAAGTACCAGTAAAAATTAGGGAGATGATCCAGCTGGAGAGTTTATCAAAGCAATGGAAAAAGAAACAGAACAATGCCAAAATTTTCTTGCGAGAGGTCATGTAATTTGAAATTCTGCAAAGAAATTAATCTCAATGATGCAATCAGGAATATTGCTAGAAGAGATAGTAGAAAATTATATTAATCACGTTAGCATATTTCAAACATGAAAATTAACCAATATTCCTCTCGGTTCTACTAAAGAGTATGAGAAGTTAATACATCTTAAACATTACTTAAAAGGTCTTTACCAAGCTCATAGAAGAGATCCTCTTAGAGTAGATATAGGAATAATGTATCGACTTGCAAATATAATTTATTGTAGCCTCCGATGACCTGGAGAACCAATGAAAAAGTTAACTACTCAAGAAGAAAAAATTTATAATTTAACTAAAAACTGTTACATATGTGAAAAGACATTTGGAAAAGAAGATAATTTTAAAAAAGTTTGAGATCATAATCATATTACAAACAAGTATAGAGGTCCAGCCCATAATATTTGTAACCTCCAATTACGAATCAAACCAAAGCAGTTTAAATTACCAATTCATTTTTATAATTTAGGTAAGTTTGATGCTCATCTTATTTTCCAAGCTATGGAACGAGTAAGTAAAGAAAAGATAAGTGCTATCTTGCCTAATATGGAAAACTACCTTAGTCTCGATATTGGAGATCAAAGATATATAAATTCTCTCCAACTCATATCAGGAAGTCTTGACTCTCACGTATCTAACTTAGGAGCTGAACCATGTAAAGAAAAAATAGATGAGAATGGAAAATCTCTAAACTTATCATGTAAAAAGCCTGGTCATCTTTATCGAATTGACTCTGATAGATGCTTTACCCATCCAAAGAGATTCTCCATAACTAGAGAACATGGACCAAAAGGAAGGGATGACTTAGTATTTCATAAAGGTATTTTTCCTTATGATTGGTTTAATGCACCAGAAAAAATGGATGCGACTTCTCTACATCCTATTGAGGCTTTCGACAATATCTTCAACAAATCTAAATACTCAGAAAAAGTCTATAAAAGAGCACAAGAAGTATGGAAAGTATTTAATATAAAATCATTTCGAGAATACCATGACTTATATCTCAAACTCGATGTATTATTATTAGCAGATTGTTTAGACGGATTCCGAAAATTAATGAAAGGTAAATTTGGTCTTGATATATCTCATTATGTATCCCTCCCTTCATTTACAGATATAAAACAACGGAACAAGAGATCGAGCTATTTATTGATGATAACATGTATCTTTTCTGTGAGAAAGGGATCTGAGGAAGTATTACAATGGTAAGTAATCGTCAGGTTAAAGCTAATAATTCTCAATGTCCCAATTTTAATTCAAATTCAGAAAAAGCAAAAAAAAACCTCTTTACTTGGTTATTATATGTCAATGCCAATACCCTATATACTGGAGTAATGATGTAATATATGCTAACAGGAGGACATAGATAGATAACACCTGAAGAAACTCCAAACCTTTTTAATAAAATTATCAAGTATAAGATTACAGATAACGTACCCAAAGGCTATATTCTTGAGGTAGACCTTGATTATCCATATAAATTATATAAATCACATTCTGCATATTCTTTAGCTCCTGAAAATATCGAGATTTCTAAAGAGGAAATGAGTAAGTATGGACAAGAGATTATTAATGATTTAAAACATTATTCAAAGACTAAGAAACTCGTCCCCAATCTCAATGATAAGAAGAAGTATATAGTCCATTATCGAACATTACAATTTTATATAAAATAGGAAATGGTACTTAGGAAGATCTATCGTGGTATAGAATTTAATCAAAATTCATGGATGAAGCCTTTTATAGAAGAACTAGCAAGATCTCGAACTTTAGCTACGAATGATTTCGAGAAAAATATGTATAAGCTCTTAGGTAATGCTAACTATGAAAAAATGGTAGAAAATATGTGTAAATATCAAAGAGTAGATTTCGTTAAACTGGAAGGAGAATCAAAAAAATTTAAAAGGTTAGTAGTTGATCTTAGTTACAAGTCTCATAGAATTTTAGCAGAAAATTTGGTAGGTATTTCTCGTCATCAAACAAAGGCTAGACTTAGTAAATCTATCTTTATTGGGATGACTGTTCTCGATAAAAGCAAAATCATAATGTATAATTTCTATTATAATGTTATGAAAGAATGATATGGAGATAATGTAGAGTTAGTATATACTGATACTAATTCACGCATACTACTTATCTGAACTGAGAATATATATAATGATATAGTAGAGATGTATGAATATTTTGATTTTAGTAATTATAAACCAGATCATCCTGTATATCAAGCTCTCAGAAAAGAAAAAATGGAGTTAAATAAGAAAGTCTCTGGTAAGTACAAGGATGAAAGTAGTGGTACTGTTATGTGGAAATTTTGCGAACCAAGACCTAAGCTTTATAGTTATATTCTTGATAATGGAAAAACAGATCGAAGAGCTAAGGGAGTACAAAAGGTAGTAGTTAAAAAGAATCTTACTTATGATATGTATAAAAATTGTTTAAAATCTCGAAAAGAATGCATGGTAACAATACATAGATTAGGAAGTAAAGACCATATTATTAGACTTCTTCATTCATCTAAAATTGGTATTAGCCCCTTAGATACTAAGAGATAGATTTTATCAGATGGAATTACTACATTAGCCTTTGGGGATTGGCGTATTATTGTATATAAGAAAATAATTGGTAAAGGAATGTCCCATGAAGAAGCTGAAAAAAGAATGATGAAGCTAGAGTTAAAACCCCAATATCAATAATAGATCAACTTACTTGCCTA